ATTCTCCAAAGGAAAAAGTAAGGACTTGACTGGTATCTTACACCATTTTACATACAGAAAGTTCTCAAAAATGATGAAATTATGTATGTTGTGTTTAGTGTCACAACTTTCTGTGGGAATAAAGTGCAAAATAATTTTTGGATTAAGTACAGACTGTCACCTACAGTATATAACAGATAGACTTCTTGAGAGGTAGTTACATTGTAGCTCAGTCAGTCTCCTGTGGGGAAGGTAAGAGTAGTTTATGATGGGTTGTATTGTGGTTCTTTAGGGCTAGGTTGGTAGTGATTGGTCAATTGTATTAAGAAATTATGGTCACATTCCACACAGCTAAAAATGTACAATGTGTTTTTAGGATCTGATGTTAGGCATGAATCACAATTTCCATCAGATGTTGACAGGGAAGAGTGGGAAGAAGAGCAAAAGGTAATTGTTACTTGTTCAAAATCAAGTTTTAAACACGGCATTTTAAAAGCTTGGTATTTTAGCCATGGTCCAGTCGTACCATTATGAAAGGTGGATGTATAAAATTATGTTGAACATTATGTAGTCGATGTAATATTAATAATAATATTGTTATTATTAATTTATATTAGTGCTATTCAGCTAATCTTCCATAATTGAGCCTATTGTTGAGAATCTTAGATTCCTATAAGATATTCATGTAATATTATTATATAATGGAGTCTCTTTAAATTTGTTGACTATTACTATAATTGTCTTTACATTTTAACAGAGACTTGACCGTGCCTGGTATGACATGGATTCTGGTTACGATGAAACACACAATCCATTTGCTGATGTTAGTGAAGAGTACACTAAAAAGAAGGAAGAAAACATGGCAAAGAAAGCAGTCAAAAGAATGTCTGCTCAGCAGCGTCAGATCAATAAGGTATATACACAAAAAGTAACTAGTATCAAATAATTTCAATTGAACCCTTGTTTTCATGGTCATTGCTTTATTATTATTATTATTATTATTATTATCATTGTTATTATTGATTATTAATTATATCTATTTCCTCTTCTTTTATGTAAGGTTAAGTTACTTCTATTTTTTAGAATTTGTAAATGAATAGTTTCTTTCTTCACTTATTATATATAGGTTTGTTTTTGTTCTCTAATGAAGGCCGAGGGGTTTCTTTTGTAACGGATGGAATTGTAGAAAGTGTTTTGATGAATTAATTAGATTTTTTGTAACAGCAGGTTGTTTGTAAATAGGATTTTAATTGAGGTTTTGTAATAAAGATTTTACTATTTTATTATTAATAAAAAAAAATTGTTATTATTAGTATTATTATTGATGCTTTATTACAACAACACAAATGGTTCACATGGTCAACGTACTTCGTTATCCAGTTATGAGGTCCCTGATGTCTACATGTACATTCAACTTGATGTTTTGACCATTATGAGTTGAAGTTAATCTAACTTGGATTTTTTTTTTCTTCAGGATAATGACTTGTGGGAGACTAACAGAATGTTAACAAGTGGTGTAGTACAAAAATTAGAGGTTGATGATGATTTTGAAGATGACCAAGAAGCCAAAGTCCATTTGTTGGTACACAACATTGTTCCACCCTTCCTGGATGGGCGAATTGTCTTCACGAAACAACCAGAACCTGTTATTCCAGTCAAGGTATTTGAATAACCCAGTTTCTACATTTACAAGTGTGGTGGAGGAGTTGATGTCGGGACTACCAAGACTTCCTCAAATACTCCTAGGGTCAGGGTGGGATTTCATCTTGGGACCTTCAGATTTCAAGGCCAATGCTCCATTTGATCGGCCATGCATGCTGCCACCTAGGCATTATCTCCAGGAGTAGGGTGATGAATTTTCAGTTTCTAAGAAAACAAAACTAACCTTGTCTTATTGTTTGCATGTTTGATTGAAAGTTACAATCATACATTTGTACAGAGTTACATGTACAATGTAACTGACCAAATGTGTACACCTTTACTTATTTGTAGGATTCCACCTCTGACATGGCTATGATTTCTAGAAAAGGCTGCCATGTTGTACGCCTGCACAGAGAGCAGAAAGAACGACAGAAAGCTCAGCACAAGGATTGGGAACTTGCTGGAACTAAACTGGGGAACATTTTGGGAGTGAAAAAAGAACAAGAGGAGGTACCTTTACTTTTATTGCATGAGTAAGCTAAAGATAGGATACACAGTATATTTTGGCAGTTTTGCCTTGGCCAGCCCACACTTTTTGTGACTATGTTACAGAACTCAAAATTTAGGATAATCAACTCCATAGCAATGGTCCTTGCCTACAGAGGCATTTTTCAAGTGGTTCCACCATTCAGTTAATGTGCTAAACAGTTGTAATCTAAGTTGTAAACCAGAGGTTGGCTTTATGGTGTTCCCCATGTTTTTATTCTAAAATCTTAATGTATTATTCCTTGACTACAGCCTCTTGCCGGCCAACTCTGAGTAAACTACTGGAAACCATTGAATATTAAAATCTTTTAGTGTGAGCGAGGAGCTAGGAGAGATGGCTGTATTTGCAGGCTAATTCTATAGTCATCTTTTACAGTCACGTAAATTGCGGTAGATGGTGGGAACGTCTTACACCCAAATGACCTTTTGGTTTTTGCTTGTTGTTTAAGGATGATAAAGGAGGTGAAGAAGATTATAAAGACAACCAAAAGTTTGCTGAACACATGAAGGACAAGACTGAGGCGAGCAGTGAGTTTGCTGCTAAGAAAACGATCAGAGAACAAAGGCAATATTTGCCCATATTTGCGATAAGAGAGGAGGTATGATACGCTTTTTGCATGATTTTTCAGTTTTTCTACTCTTGTCTTCACGTTATAAAAGGCTTGCTAACTAATTTAATGCCTCTTCTTTCGTTTAATTCCAGCTGCTAAACATTGTTAGGGATAATCAGGTTATCATTGTAGTGGGTGAAACTGGATCCGGGAAAACAACACAACTCACTCAGGTGAGAAAGAATTCTGTAAGTTCAAAGGTTGTGTGATGAATGAATGAATGAATGAATGAAGCCCTATGGTTCTTTATAAACACAGGCAACACGAACTCCAAGGGTGAGCGCCTAGTCTGCGCCTATAAGAAGTATCCTACAATACATTGTATGTCTGCATAATTCACTTGCCCCATATTTCCAACTTTGCAGTATATGCATGAAGATGGCTACACGAATTACGGTATGATAGGTTGCACTCAACCACGGCGAGTGGCAGCCATGTCTGTTGCTAAACGTGTGAGCGAGGAGTTTGGATGTAGACTTGGAGAAGAAGTTGGTTACGCCATTCGGTTCGAAGATGTTACTTCAGAGGTAAGGAAAACAACGTTAACCTTTTCTCCTGCGGTACCTGTTCTGTGTCGTTTGTCATGGACTTTTGCCCTTTGCGCCTTAAACACCTTAGTTTCTCTATGTCACATATAAGCAAACAGTCAGTACTGTCTGTATTCCATCTTGTTATGAAAGAGTATCGCAGAACTTTTAAGACTACTACAGCCCTTGACTGAGCACCAGGCTCAAGGTTCAATTCGCCACTTTAGAACGAGAAAGGAACTGGAGCCGAAATTGTGTCCCGCGATTGTTTCTGGGATTGTTATTGGAAATGCGCTGGTCAGCTATTGGCCAATGTTTTCCCTGTCCTTAGTAACAGTCCCAGAAGTCTTTGCTTGGCACAGTTTCCTTCCCGTTTCTAAAGTGACAAATTGGCAGTCTTTTTTTAATAAAGAAGGTTTTTTGTGAGGAGAAATGTCAACCAGCCCAGTCCAAAAACTTTGCCGCTTGGAGTTGTTTAAATAATATTTTACCACTTAATGTGCGTGGCACAAAAGGAAGAAGTGAAGATAAAAAAGAAACGTTTTTGCAATGGTAGAATAGCCAAAAGCATTTTTTTCACTCTTGTCAACTTAGCATTCCTCTTGCTACTAGGCTTGCTGTTAAAAAGTGTTGTACATGTTATTTTCAGAAAACTATAATCAAGTATATGACGGATGGTATTTTGCTTCGTGAGTCTCTCCGCGAGTCAGACCTTGATCATTACAGTGTTATAATTATGGACGAGGCTCATGAGAGATCGCTAAACACTGACGTCCTCTTCGGTCTACTCAGAGAGGTAAAACATGCTTCATGTCATTTGATAGCTTGCCTAGCAAACGTTTCTTATTTAGTTATGCGGAAAGGTTGGAGCGAGTGCAAAAAAATGGAAGAAGGGGGAGGGGAATTTCTCCTCTTCCCCTTATTGCTCTCATCCCAACTTTTTGGAAGAACTCGTGCGGAAACGCTTGCGACGCAGGCTGGTCATTTGCCCGCCATAGTCTATGGGAGGGTCATATCGCGAGTTTCTTATTATCCCACCCAGTTAGACCAACACTCAGCATCATACATTTGTAGGTCGTATAAGTTTTTCAAGTTGGAAGTCATTTCTATCTCTGTATTTCGACGCTATTTCATATTTTTGTATGATGATAAAAAAAAAGGTATTGACAACAGCAATAACAACAACAACGACAACATCTCATATTTAAACACTGTAAAATTAACTTGCCGAAAAAACTTGTTTTTTTTTTCTCACAGGTCATATCTCGTCGAAGAGATATGAAACTCATTGTGACATCAGCAACAATGGATGCACAAAAATTCGCCGACTTCTTTGGTAACGTTCCAACTTTCCAGGTAAGGGTGATAACTTTTGTTCGTAATGGTGTCCAACTGGAGTGGGTAAAAAAGTTCGTCAGTGTTTTGTGTCTTGAGACTTCACGTGCATCTATGTTTGTTTGTTTGTTTGATTCATGTTTTGATTCATTCAGTTGTTTTTTGGTGGTTACGACAAAAGGGTTTTCTTGCCAGCCGAGCTTGCAAAAAAAGGCAAAAGATTCTCAAACCATGAATTGATGAGGGTGGCTTTTACCCCAGGCTATAGTCACACTATACCTGATAGCTACAGTCCTGGACAAAACTACTTGAGAAAATGTTTTCATTAATGCGCACTACCTAACGCAACAAAACTATTTCCAAATCAACGGTTTTGCGTAAAGAACCCCCCCCCCCCCCCAGTTCAAAGTTGCTTCCTACAAATACTTAGGGATCCGGCTTTCTTTTGAAGACCCAACAACACTGCTTCCAGGGGGAGGGGGAGAGGGAAGAATCGGTCGGCTACGAAGTTTAGAAAAAATGCCCCCCCAAGAATGCAATTTTCTCAACAGTTTTGTCCAAGACTGTAGCTCTCACACGGGAACGAAAACCTTACCGGATAGGGCTTCTGTTTACACATAAGAACGGTGATTTCGGCGCGATTTCTGTAACGAAGGGAAGCTGTACCGCGCTGATCTCAAAAATGGAGCATCGCATATTGGATAAATTCGGTGCCATATTTAAGTACAGTGTGAACAGGTATTGGGACCGTACCGGGAGTGAATAAACAGAAGCAAGAACTGGAATCCACTGAGAAGGCAGAAAATATTCAGGAGTGAGGACGCCATCCGCTCCGGCACAATGTTAAAAGTGTGTGAACGACTTCTTCCAGTTCTGTGCTGGTACCTTTTCGTGTCAGCACGAAAAGCTGTCGATATAGTGTGAACTTATCCTTGGAATACCAGGTTTCGGACATGGCTTCGTCTCTTTGTTATCTTGCGTTTTCAATATGCTCTGTTTGCATTCTTCTGCTCGGTTGTGAAGAAGCGTTGCGCCCTTGCAGTCTTATTTGGCAAACAAATGAATTCTAGCCACTGCACTAGAAGAATACTTATCAAGCACTATGATTTACACCTTTCCAGTTCAGAATTAACCATAGTTACTAACTATGAACATTATCCTCACTACTGGGTAACTGTTCTTATTTTCAGATTCCGGGCCGAACATTTCCTGTGGATATATTTTTCAGCAAGAATGTAGTGGAAGATTATGTGGATGGTGCTGTTAAGCAGGCTTTACAGATTCATCTCACGCCAGCTAAAGGTATACAGCTCTTGCCTAGGACGTCAGTTATTCAACATTTCGATTCTTGCGATCTGATATGAAATGAGAGCGCGAAAACGCCCGAAAGGTAGACCTGCTCGCGCCACTGGCACTGACCATGTCATCATTGCTTAATCTGCTTTTCAATGGACTTAAAGCCAATACGGGGAAATACCAAAGAAGACGTCATACTCGTGCATGCTTTCCACGATGGTATAGTGATACTCGTACACCTAAAAAATCAGTTGTGTAGGAGCTGCTCGTAAGGTGAAGGTCTCTCCTGATTGGTCGGAGAAAACAATGATGTGTCAGTATTGTTTGGGGTCATGGTTAGGCCACTTCCGAGCAGCTGCTATACATGACCCTAAAAAATATGACTACAACACTTGATTTCTCCGTTGTTTTTCCGTTTGTACTGCCCCAAACAATGCTGACTAATAATTATTTTTCGGAAATAAAGGAAAGATCAACATCTCCAAGGATCAATGGTGCCATCGTTTGTTACATACTGTATGTGTTTCTTTTTTTATTTCCCAGGTGATATTTTAATCTTTATGCCTGGTCAGGAGGATATTGAAGTCACTTGTGACCTTATTACAGGTTAGTACAAGAAACAGTATTAAAACACATGTCGCTACGTATAAAAATACGGGGGGAGGGGGTTGTTTTATTTATTAATAACGTTATCCTTACCTGTTTATTCCTTTAGAGCGTCTTAACGAGATAGACGAGGCACCTCCCTTGGCAGTGTTACCCATTTATTCACAGTTGCCATCTGATTTACAAGCCAAGATATTTCAGAAAGCCCCGGATGGAGTCAGGAAATGCATCGTTGCAACCAACATCGCAGAAACTTCCCTTACGGGTGCGGAAAATCCTTTTGTGGAGATAACCTTAGTGTACAACATGTGCAAGAATTGTCGAATAGTTTACAATTTAAAGTTCTTTTTTTATTGCTAATATCTTGTTTTTTGTTTGTCTTTTTTAGTTGACGGCATTATGTTCGTTGTGGACTCTGGATACTGTAAACTGAAAGTTTTTAATCCCAAGATCGGCATGGATGCACTACAAGTCTATCCCATCAGCCAGGTAGATAAAAACGATATTTTTCAATTTGTGTCCCACTGTGACCTAAAAATTACTTTTCTTGAACTGTACGAAGGCACGGGATGTTGTAAACTCGCAATACTTTTTTGTCGTCGGTGTCTTAATAAAGCGTAAATAACTGTCATTCAGACACGTTTTCGCTAGGAAAAATTCCTAGGAGATTGACCGGCGTTGTCCTGATTTGCGTAAGTGTAGCAAAAAGTCGTAGGACAACAGTCAACGTTTATTAAGTTGCTTGTGCGGGTAGCTATAACACATTTTATCATTCCATTCTCTTTTTTGTTGTCAGGCCAACGCAAATCAGAGATCTGGTCGTGCTGGAAGAACTGGACCTGGGTACCGACCTTTTTAACGTTTTGTTGTTGTTGTTGTTTTTTTTTTTTCATTTTTTATTTTGTAGAACACTCAACTTACTCACTTATAGTGGGGACATAAATAAAACGAGCAAAGCGAAAATAGGACGCGCCTTCTCTCTTCAGCACCCGCGCGTTTTTCGCATCATTTTTTACCGAACGACTGCACCACTATCTTGGAGCCTGGAACAGACTAACTCACTTATGAGATGTTGGCCGAATGCTTGAAGGGAAAAACTATATTTCCGCTCGTCCATGCCTCATTTGCCTCCTATTCATTCAAAGTTAGGCCTCATTTAGATGGAAAAAAGTTGTCTCCGCGGTAAAGAGGGTCAGCTTGAGCGAGAATTTATATGGGAGAAAAGTTGACTCCTTTGCCATTGAAAACAGCGCTCGCGCATGCTCTGACTATCTCACCGTGACCGAGTTGCTTGGGCTGGGTGAGTCAAAGTATCAGGGACCTTAAGCAACGACGACGACGGTTGTGAAATCATCACTAAAAATGAATTTGCGTCCTTTCAAACTTTACTGCGTCTATTTGGAACCGCTCAATTCCTCAAATGTAGGCGACTTTTCCTGGAGTTAAATTCTTTAGGGCTTTATTCATGTTCAAATAGAGAAGGGACATTTTGTCGTTGTATGTCCACGTCCTCCATAAAACGTCGCATTGGGAGGTTTCACGTCGTATTCGTGCAGTGGACGTCAAAGAAGTGTACTAAAAAGCGTGATGCACGTGCAGAGCAGTTGTTTTTCTCATAAAACCAATTGTTTTTTGACGTTGTTGCTGTTGTCGTCGTCGTGGCTTAAGGTCCCTACTAGCCCGGCTGAGAGGGTGACCCTACCGTCGCCTTCTAGGGGAGCAAACGTTTTGTTTCTGATGTAAGCGGGTCGCTAAGTTTTTGTAAGGAAATATACTAAACTTTGGCTCCTCCAGGGTAGCTAAGATAGGTGAGTGAACCATTTAGCCGGGAAAAGTTTTCTCCATACAATCGGGTCCTTTTCCTTTCCTTACAGCAGACGCTTATCTGATCGTTTGTTCTTTGATTTGTTTTGTTTTCAGCCAGTGCTTCCGTCTGTTTACCGAGAGTTCCTACAAAAATGAGCTCTTGATATCCACAGTGCCAGAAATTCAGCGAACAAACCTGGCCAATGTGGTTCTCCTTCTCAAGTCACTGGGAGTGCAAAATCTGCTGGAGTTTCATTTTATGGATCCACCCCCTCAGGTACCCCAATATCCACATACAAATTCTCCAGACTGATCTCCACACATTTTCTCAGACTCAGTTGAGAGAATCTGATAAAAGATCAAAGCATTTCCCTGTTGATAAAGTTATTACTTTCCATTCATATGCAAGGAAAAGTTCACGTTTAGCTGGTTCACTGAAATAGAAGCCATGTAGATGTACATAGCTTTTTAGCGCCGTATATGATAGATCTCATTTGTTGAAGGTATTGAAAAATGATAATTGAGCTTAAAGAACTATTCCTCGATCATATTCAGCTATTATAATGTCTTGTTGATCGCTGATTGACAATCCTGTTTGTGGTGTAATTTTACTATTATGTAGCTAAGCATGCCGTAATCATTGCACTTCGATAACTTTGCTTCTAATTTGTACGTCGGTGACTTTGCAGGACAATATCTTAAACTCTATGTATCAGCTGTGGATTCTGGGGGCCTTAGATAATACAGGAAGTCTAACCCCCCTGGGACGTCAGATGGTAGAATTCCCTCTGGACCCCGCCCTGTCCAAGATGTTGATTGTAGCCGTGGATATGGAATGCAGCGACGAGTCACTGGTACGTATTATGAAGCTACGTGCAAACGGACGCAACAGCTCCCAATAATGTTAAGGGTCATTGGCCATCAATGTTGCGTCCGTTTGCACGGCGTTAAAAGTTTGACCGGTTTCAAACTTTGCGCAACAACATGCAGCAGGGTAACATCCAACAATGTTAAGAGTTGTTCGCCAACAATGCTGCCTCTGTTTGCGCGGGGGCTTAACGAAGTAGAAAGCTTGGTCCTCACTGGCATCATAAGCCTGAGCAAAAAAACATATTTTTGGCGCATACGAGAAAACCCAACCGATGTGACCGGAAAAGAGAGTTTTCGTGCCGAATTCCCTTGTTTATTGTTATTTCTACTGATCTTTAGAACTTGTACACTTTTATCCTCATTCTTAAGTTGCAGCGGGCCTCACAAGCGTGCAATTTTCTTATGCTTGTGTCAGTAGTTAGTACTGGGCTTATAAATGGAACATATCAGGACTTGCGTGTAAACAACCGCCCCCTCCCCCTCCCCAGAGGGGATGGCTGGACCTCTCTAAACAGGCCATGATGGGGTTATTGAATGTTGTTTTATACGATTCTCTACGTTTTTACTACCTCATCGGCTCATGAAATATTTTTGATCTCGTTTTGCAGACTATAGTATCCATGCTGTCAGTTCCAGCCATATTTTTCCGCCCAAAAGGAAGAGAAGAGGAAAGTGACGCAGCGAGGGAGAAATTTGCGGTGCCTGAAAGTGATCATTTGACGTTCCTTAATGTCTATATACAATGGAAAAGCAACAAGTAAGTCATACACTGTTTGGATCACCGGTAGCCTTGGATTGCTCGACTGAAATTCCCGGTAACTTTTCAGTCCCGAAATCAAATATTCAAATCAAAATCTGCGTGGGTCCTGGAGAACAAACCAGTCCAATTTTGTTTTGTTAACTGTAGTTTGATCATGTTATTGCAAAACCATTGAAACCTCGATTTGGGCTCATTAATTATCGGGACTTTCGATAACCGTGACCCAGCTCACCTGATCTGTTAAGATTAAACTAGTTTCAAAATACCCCTTTCTTAGCTTGTGGAAAAATCATTTAGTAACCCTCAGACGTCCCCCTCCGAGGTTTTTCTGAGTTTTTTCCTAGACGATCAAACATCAGTACCTAACATTTTCAGTAGCTGTTCGTTTATCCCTCGCGCGAATTTTGAGACCTGTTAAGTGATGGCCAAGCCACTTTTGTGTGAAAATACATGTTTCTTCGACTTCTTTCAACGATAAAAGTAAAGCTTGTGCATAAAATGATGCGTAGTACTTATTTATGTGTTGTTTTACATGTCGAACACAAGAAATTACGAATTCTGGCCGTCTTTACCTGCATTAGAACAAGTTTAGGACTGGGACACATTTCTTAGGGCTCTGTTTGACTTCCCTGGATGGTGCCCTAGCTTAACTATCCTAAACTGAAATGTTGGATTCTTTTGTTTATTGTTTTTATTTAGTTACTCTGCCCAGTGGTGTAATGAACACTTTATACACATCAAAGCCATGCGGAAGGTATGTATCAATTTATCATATTTCTGCTCAAAAGGTGTGGTTAGTGTACCCTCTAAGGAGAATTTGCTTTAAGGAGGCTCTGATCTGTAAATGTTTCTCCAGCGTTTTCCTTTAAGGTTTTAGGGAAGCAAAAGTGATCTGACTACTTAGTAGTGTTTAAAATGATTTGACGACATTATCATGATGATGACTGCGAGCGATAATAATAACGATGGCGACGTTTCAATTGTATTACGTTGGGAATTACCAGCTTAAGCCGCCTCATGCAAAGGGACGCAACACTGTTGGCCAACAACTCCCAACATTGTTGCGTCCTTTTGCACACCCTGCTGTATGTTGTTTCATGTTCTTAAGTGTTGTTGAGAGTTGTTGCGCAAAGTCTGAAACCAGTGAAACTTTTGAGATATGTCCAAGTTTGCACGCAGTAGCAAAAATTGCAAGTGCAGACTTGGACATAAGTGGTTTTCTAACTGAGACTCATGCAATTGAAACTGCTTTCTTTTATTTTTAGGTTCGAGAGGTTCGTGGGCAGTTAAAGGATATCATGGTTCAACAAAAAATGCCCATTAAATCTTGTGGAAATGACTGGGATGTCTTAAGAAAATGCATCTGCTCCTCGTACTTCCACCAAGCTGCCAGACTGAAGGTTATTTATTTAATATTTATTTATTTAAATAAGCTACAAAGGGTACTGCTTTGAAATCGTAGTGCCGCATATCCATGACATGTTCTTTTTTTCTTGACCTTAAAGACGCTGTCTCGTGAACTAGCGCCAATTCAGCTACAAAAGGACGGTTAATCGAAGGTTTCAAACGACAAAGCAAATACAAACGAAGACTCGTTAAAAAGTAAAAGCAAAGTCACGTACCAGAGTGCCATAAACTGAAAGGCCTTTTCAAAATTTCAAAAAAGTTGTCTTAAGATTCGTTCACATTTCCCATGCTACTAACCCCTTACCTACACTCAGCTCCAATTAAAGTAAAATGTAATGCAACTTCTAGAAGGTCCTCGTTTTACTTTCTTGTGGTGGGTTTAAATCTCTTGCCCCAATAACTCTCATTTATTTGTGTTGTAGGGTATCGGAGAGTATGTAAACATGAGGACAGGAATGCCATGTCATCTTCACCCAACCAGTGCTTTGTTCGGCATGGGATACACTCCAGATTACATTGTCTATCATGAGTTAGTGATGACCTCCAAGGTAAGAAACCTGTTGGAAACTTGTGGCCACCAGTGGTAAAAAATACACTTGGCGTACGGACAATAGTTGCCATATGGCGGCTAGTGTGCTCTGAAATAAGTAATTTGATACACACACCAGTGGTTAGCTCAAAAACTTTGCTCCTCTGTCCACCGTGTACTTCCCTCGAAGGCATTTACCTCTGTCTTTTTTCCCTTTCTTGTTGTTCTGTTCCTATGCCTTGATATCTTCGCAATATAAATATTATATAAAGTGTGAATAAACAGCTAAAACTGAACAATGTGGGTAGCTGGCTAGGAAAAAAGGTACTGGTAAGTAGTAGCTCATATGATCAGTATTGCGTCAGTCCATACGGTGGAGCTCCTGGTTGCTCAACATTCGTGCATTACTATATACAGTGGAACCTCGATATAACGAAGGGGCTGGTAAAATATGTTCTCTGTAACGGGGTTTCCTTATATTGAGGTTTTTTTTCCAGATATTTTACTATTACTAGAGCGAAAGTATCGTTCGTTATGCCAAGTATTTCGTTATAATCGAGGTTCCAGGATAACAGAAATTGAAGATTTCGATTGTTGTTGATTAGGGAATGTGCTAAGGGCAATTTTTTTTACTGATCAATAAACAGGAATACATGCAGTGTGTTACTGCTGTTGATGGTTACTGGCTTGCAGAACTCGGACCCATGTTTTATACTGTCAAAGAATCCACCAAAACACGGCTGGTGAGTGGTATTTGAGGTTAAGGACGTTAAGCATCACGTTTACGTCAAACGGCAAACTCGAATTTGTATCACGTGACCAAGGTTCCCTTTGCTTGTGGCCTACTGTTCGTTATTTGTACACATAAATTAGTAGTTTCACGCAATTTTTTATCCATAAGAGTTTTCTGAGCCGTTTTATAATCTTCTCTTTTCTATTTTGCGAAATTCCCAACTTGAATCTGACGTTTGCCTTTTACTGTATACGTGAAGCTTAAACTCTTTATTAGTGTTGTTGAGAATCCCTTTGAAAATAAGGCTTACATCTTAGAAAATGCTTCACCTTTGCTATTTACCCATCGTCTCGCGGACTATGTCGTAATTAAAAAAGTTAAATCTCGAGAAGAGGTCGCGGCCTTAATTTTACCACCAGAATAGTATCAACAACAGACAGTTCTTGAAGATAGAGCTTTAAGAAGGTATCTTGGTGACAAGATGATAGAAGACAAGCAAGCCACTGGTATAAGTAAAATCAGACCCGGCCTTTGTAGCTCTGAGTGGCCATGTTCTAGCATTTCAAAAGGGAAGCCCAGGTTGATACTCATTTTCTCTTTACGAATCATGGCGTTAGATACTACAGAATACCGACAGATTATCCTGCTGACGCAATAGGAGCACTGGCGCCGAGAGGCGTCTTTTCTAGTCTCCTCTCGGCTTGCATTTTTATAAATTTTACTCAAACAAATTAACCTTGGTAAGCTTTAAAAGACATCAACTTTCCTTCTTTTATTAATGTCATTTCTGTTTTCGTTTGTAGGAGAAAAGAAAGCGTGCTAGGGAAGATTTATCAGCTATGGAAGAAGAGATGGCAGCCGCAAGTGCGCAGATAAAAGCTAGAGAGGAAGAAAAACTTGCTAAAGTCACTCCTTCAGTAAGGTCAGTAAATTGCATTTAGTCTTTTAATTTCTCTGAGACGAATTGTTCTCTCCTGTTTTAACCCTTCCTATCTATAAAGTGGTAGTAGAATTTACCAAATTTGAGAATTGTAGTAGCAAATTTTGCAAGTGTTCGATTAAAACAATTGTACTTCTTAGCCTTCAAAGTTACTACTGAGTGTTAATAGACTTGCTTGCGAATTCGCGAGTCTTTTGAAGTCTACTGTAAAGAGTCACATTTCATAGTTTAGAAATTTAAGCTTTAAACTAACGTACTGCATTTCATTTTTGGCTTTCAATCACAGGTCTCAAATTGTTACACCAGGACGTAAAGCCCCTGCAACTCCACGCCGTACCCCTTTCAGATTTGGTTTATAACTTCAATTCAAATACATACCTCGCTGCAGACTATCACTTTACTCTGCCACACAAAGTGGCGCTAACAGTGCGTCCCGGAACCTGCTCACTATATTTTCTATGACTGTACTTATTTTGTTTGTACTTATGGTAAGCGATAGTTTTAGCGCAGAAACTATTTGGCTTTTAACAGAATCATTGTATCTATGCCCAGGCTTTTAAAATACAAATTGTGTGTAGTCTCCATTTTGTCACTGATGGTTTGTCATTACTGACTTTGTTTTCGTCTTTGTTTTCATTTGTTACAAAATGACAAGAGACGCTGTAATGTACTTTGCAGAATTGTAAATAAACTGTACAAATCGCGCCATTTTTAAAGATACGCTTAGCTACGGCTGGACCTCGTCTTAGTATGGCAAAGAGTAAACCACACTTTACAACACTCTGTCTGAAAACCAGCGGGGAGGTACTCCTGTAATCAGTAGCCTGTAATTTTTAAGAAAAGGACTGCCGATAATTCCAGCTCCGGGAATGGATGGGTTTCAGTTCTCATTTAACCGGGTTTACCGCGGCGTAAACACCTGTGAAGTTTTTCTTTGTTTTCTAGCTATTATTTTCCTTTTGTGTTGACTTCTTAGTGGCTTCTTTGTATTCATTGTTTTTATAATACGTCACTTGTGAGTTTCACAGGTTTTTACACTAAGGATGAGCCGTTTAATCCCCCCTTCACTCCTAGAGTAAAACGGAGTATTGTATGGTGGTTCCAACTGTTTAGTCTGTGGTTTCACTTCTTTGGTTTGAACATTCAAATGAAAGCTACTTTTTAGTACTGTAATATACTACTATTTGCCTTTCTGCATTTTACAAATTGAAATTAATTTGGAATTTTTGTCGAATTTTTACTTGCACAGTTTTGGGGATAAAAGGGCCACTTATCCTTTAAAAAGACTAAGGCTAATTCTACAATGCTTCACTGACTGGTTGTTGTCATATTGGGTGAAGAACGTGTTTCATTTGACACAAGTTGCACTTGTCTCGTTCCCCAAATTCAAAATGGCTCAGGGCACTAATACGGCTGTGAATAGCCTAAAACTGTTGAAACCTAGTGAAAACTTGTAACGGTAGAGGCATTAGCACTGGAAACGTTTCCCACAGAAAAAGAGGATTACCTCAGCATCAAAGTTCCACTTATTCCCAGGAATTTTCATGTTCCATTAAATAGAATATGAAAATTAGATTTTACATCCCAACCAGAACCTTCCAAACTCTTGTTTGTAAGTTGTAAAGATCACATAGTAGTATTAGGCCTGCCAATTTTTCAACAAGATGAAACTAACTTGCTTCAGCAATGAAAATATATCTAGCATCATTTCTTACATAACATTTAAATTATCACTGGTGTCACCTCAGGTATTTCTGAGGTATCTTTACAACAGCTACTTGCGGTGAAATAACAGTTTCAGGGATGACTGACACAGTTTCCCACCTGTCCTCTGTCACATTGTACCGCTCAACACTGTCCAGTGTGTTCAGAACTGAGCGGCCATTTGACCCACCAAATATATAGACGTGATCTTCGGTGCCTGCAACACAACACCCTGCCCGGGGCACAGCAAGGCCAGATACCAGGGTCCATTCATTTGTCCTTGGGTTATAGATCTCACATGTGGTGTGCAACCTGTAAGTTACCCCAAAGGAACCACCAGCCACTATGATTTTCCCACTGAATGCTTGAGCTGCTGGCTGTTGTCGTGGCATTGTCAAATCTGGCAAAATATGCCATGTGTTTGATGATAAGTCGTAGCGTTCACAGCTTCTAAAGTTTTGTCTGTTGCCGCTAATAACATAGATAGAGTCATCCAATACAGTTGCGGAGTGGTTATCACGTGGAAAGTTCATGTCTTTAACACAATGCCACTGGTTATGCAGTGGGTCATAGCACTGTGTCTTGCTCAATATTTTATCAAAACGATCCCTTCCACCAATTACAAACAACTTGTTTTGCACTGAAACAACAGCACTGAATGAAACTGGCTGTGGTAGGTCAGCTACAACACAATTCCATCTGTTTTCAACAAGACTGAACTGACAGACATGAGAATGAGCAGAAACATTTCCACTAACTCCACCAACCAAATATAAAGCATCTTGGCAGACTGCTGCACCATGACCATGACGAGGAAGATGAAGATCGGGTAGCGTTACCCAAATGTCAGGCAAGGGCAAGAATGCCACAAAACTGTTTTGTAGTCGTTGTTTTAAGTACGATTTGTCTCCTCCCGAAAGTATTATTGCCGTTTCAAGAGGTCCAGTTCGAGCAACATGAAAGTGTCGATTAAGGTTGAATTCACTTGCCGACACACTGACATTGTTTATATTAAGTAAACTGTTCAAAGGGATTGAATTATTTCGAAGAAATTGGTCGCTCATAATCATTTCATTAAGCTGCTTTTCAGCTATTAAAGGTAATCTCACATTCTTAAGGACTTCAAGGAGTAATTCTTTCCGCATATGAGGATCGTGTTTTACCCAGGAAACTGCCGAGAGAAACACTTCAGCTTCATTACTTACATTAAGCTCGTCACGTGTGAGTAATTCTATGAATGACTCGTAATTCAAATCACCAAATGCTGCAGATTTTGCAACTTGAGTAAAGTTTTTATTAATAAAGCAATCGCACGATTTCTTTAACAACGCACAGCCGTACTTTAAAGAGAACGCGTGCAGAGAGAGGCAGTTGGATAAACTGATTGATTTTTGTAAAACTAATGAAGCATTCTCTTTCAATGCTGGAATGTGAAGGTAGTCAGCAGCCATAACCAAATTTTCGGCATTTTTCAAACAGATTTCCACTTCACCCAGGTAAAGGAATTGTAGCACTTGTTCCATCTGAAAATAGTCCCGATCCTCTAATATCACGATACCACTACGTTTTTCCACAAAGTCGTCAGAAAAAAGAGCTTGAAAATAAGAGCTGCTCGCAGAAAGAACGCAACGGTGAGCTGGAAAGTTGCATCCGTTGACCCTCAAAACAACATCACAAAGGCTGTTTTTTTCCCTTAACGTGTTGAGAGCTTGAAGAATACCTTCCTTGAAATTACGGTCAATTGTTCGGCATCCTTGTTCCCTTTTACCTGCCATGTGAAATTTGGCAGAAATCAACCGAGAACGATAAACTTCGTTCCTCAAATCGAAGTGCCCCGGGAGATTGGAAACTATTTTGGGCATGAGTTGTTCCGCCTTCAGGGATCATTTGCATTTGTAGTGATTGTTGATGCTTACTAAATTTGGCATAAATATTGATAATCAGGGCTATATCAGTTAACAGAAAATCAGCGTTTCAATGACATCTATGCATCTAGTCCCTTTGCTTTCTGTTAAGCTGCAAAAATAATCGGGATCCATGGAAGTTTTAAGGGTAGAGAAAAACAAGGGGCTTCAATAACAGCCACAGGATTTATTGGATTGGACTGGACTACCATAAGCTTGCATTTACAGCCACCTCGCACTGCTTCCCGTTACTGGGGACATGTCATAAAATGATCCCAGTGACACGGAATGATGAAAGGCAGCTGTATACACAGGTTACCAATATCATTGATTTGGGATTTTTCCTGCAGGATTGTTTAAGTTCAAGTATTGGTTGGCAAGAAAAAAATAAAGCTGAATGGGTTATACACTGGAGTTAAAAGTGACCATGTTCATGAGGAAGGTTCACGTAATGGAGCCCTTACAATGCAACTACTGTAACCTGGGCCACTTAGACAAAGTTGACAGATCGAAGTTGGTTGTCGGCCAATCAGCAGCCGGTAAAAATACAATACATTCCACCAGACAATGTTCTTCTATTTGAAACTTTACTTTTAACACCCAGGAGACACATTCGGTTGACAAAAGCTGCTATTTTGTCATCTACCAGCAATTTCTTTGCTACAATTGCCACACATTGCAATAACCTGCAACCTCAAGTAAAAAATATAACAGCTACTAATGCTTACATTTTTCAGCTTTCTTTAGCAGGTTCAAAAGGTCACATCTCGGTTATAATTTTGATCCATGTTGTCAATTTCATTTTGTGATAATCATGATTGAGAACTAACTTCCTTAGAATGTATTGTTATTTTCCTGTCATCCAATTGGTCAACTTTGTCTAGGTGGCCCGGGTTATAGTAGTCAGACTGTAAAAGGTCGACATAACTAGGTCCCTTGCATCATTAAACACAAAACTTGCTAGCAAGGTCAAAGGATAAGGAAATAAAGAATTTTCCACCCCAAATGTATTTTTCCCTCATTTTGCAACCAAATCCCCTCCCATAAATTAAAAAAGATGTAAGAAATCTTTCCAGGAAACAATTTTATTGTATCTTAAAAAACAAGATTACAGCTTGGCCTCTTTTCGCAACTTCTTCAGTTCAGTTTTGAGCACTCTGTTTTTCTGTGAAAAAAAAAGAAAAGAAAAAGAACTTGTAAACAAAAAAATTGTGAAATTCAACGCAAAAGATGAAAGTTAAAATTTTCTGTATTAAGATATATTTTTCTGCCTTAGATTTATAAGCAGATTTTGGAAAAAAGAAATGAAAATTCTAAATGTTTGTGATGTACTCACAAGTCAAGAAAAAATTAACAACAACATTTACACATAGGGTCTATAGCTAATCACATCATTTAGGCGCTATAACTTCTAATCTATAGGATATTCACAAACAGAAGATATAAAAATAGGCCTTCAAATAGGCAAACAAACGAACTAACGCATTGTATTTCATATGTGCAGAATTTTAAAAAAATACATTTTAGTAAACTAAATTGTAAAACATTATGCACTTGGTTTGGCTCATGCAAGGTTCACCTTCCTTATCAATACCCGCCGACATCCATTATTCCTATCTAAGCCAACCCAAATTGAATTACCCATTTTGAATTTATCCAGACACCGTACTTCACGGGAACTTAATTCAGCTTATGTGAAATTCATGTACATGTATGGCCTCTGAAACAGACCTAAGGAATGATTAGTAAGTTGTCACAGTATTGTTTTACATCAACTTCAACCATGTTTTATATAATGTAATTTTGTAACAAAGGTGCATCTTTATAGCTCATAAAAGCTCCAATGTGACCCACGCTTTATTCAGTGCCTTCTTTCTCAATAACTGAGTGATTTCTTGTTTGTGGCAGGGTGCAAAGAAAGTCATTTTTAAGCTTGCCATTCGGGCATGCTGTACCCAGCATTTACTAGCCCGTACACCATTTCAACTAGCCCCAAAAACTTTTTGATGAGCAGAATTATTGATTTCACAGTTCTTCTGTAATATTATTTGAATACCTCAAAAAACTACTCTTGCCCATCAGGCAAGCTAAGAACAGAATTCACCGGCCCAATAGCAAAATCTACAACCCCCATGCTATCAGACACAACTTTCTCTGCATGCTGGTGCTGATTGGTTGAGAGTTTTGGTCAATGAGAGTGCAGAGCATGGAAATGGCATGATGGTTGTACAATTAATACTCTTTTAAGTGCATGCAATTTTCAGAAAACTTAAACAGAAACTTTAACAACAAAAGCTGTCAATGTTATTGTATAAAACAAATAGACAACAACAATTTATTTTTCTTGGTCTATACTCTTATTGACCGTGGCAATGATGTCAACATGTTCAAAACTTTGCAGTAAAACTACTTGCCTAAGGCTCATGGTTCCACTTGAGTTTTGAACATCTTGACACCATTTCCAAGGCTCGAAATAATTTCTGGAGAGCCTTCAGACACGATGACCAGCCAAATTCATTTTAGCTCGGTCACTTATCGTTTCTGGCCGGTCAAATGTTAATTCTTAAAACAAGGGCCCATTAACCAAAAATGGCTTTATATATTCCAAAAACAGCTGTGGGTTCAGATTTTTCGCGGGGTAGAGGGGCCGCGAAATTTGTTAGAAATCTTATCTAATACATGTCGATACAACATATTTGAAACTTATCTCGGCTGTTGGGGCTGTTAATTGCCGTCACGTTCATCCCCACAACGAGCGAACAACGTTCCAAAACTACCAGGCATAAGTTATGTTGGGAACTGGGCACTAGTCATGATGTTTTAAAAAGCTTTGCCATTGGCTCATTTCTCGAGCGCTTTGTAGTTAAAATAGCAAGTGATTATCTCTGTTAAAAAACTTTAAACACACTTGTCAAATCAGCGCAAAATCGATCGATTTCTAGCGAAATTTGTCCACAAAATTCCACGAAATCGGCCACTTTTACCTATTGTTTTTCGGCGAACTTAGTCTCGAAAATTTCCGCGAAATTCCCGCGATATCAGCCGATTTTTTCGCGAATCTCTCTAAAAATCCCACGAAACTTGACTTTTTTTCTCCACGACCGATCAGATGCCCTGTGTTGCTTAACTCATAAAAGTGAAAATATTCTTAATTTTGTGACCAAAAGCGCGTGAACCCCAATGTCTGTTTCAATGCGTGAATTGTAAACAACGTTTCTAGTTGTATTTCACCCAGGATTTCAGATCAACGTTTTGCAATGCACAGCGACTCGCTACATACTTATAACAATTGAAACAACTGATTTCATTTTCAATACGATCGATTGTGACCAGTCAACATGATCGGCAAGACGAAAAGTTGACTGGTCAACTCCCCAATCAGTCCGGACATTGTCCGTTGACCGGCCGTTATTTCGAGCCCTGCATTTCTATTATCAATAAGAGTGCAGAACATGGGAAATTGTTGCTTATTTGTCAATTATACCCTTCAACTCCTAAACCACGTCATGGTGATTATCTGCCACCCTAACAAACTGTGCAAAATGCTACCAAGTCGACATTCAAAAGAAACCTCATAGAAAACTGTCTATTTCTCAGGGACACTGAATACAACTGCATGTAAAACCTCTTCACTCTAAGGCCAAGTCAAGGTGAGATTATTTGTCAATCTACTTTTTACATTTGCGGACAAAATCCTACTGCGTCACCATTCAAATGAATTGACTCAGCCAAAACTTTTGCAAAGCATTATTTTAAGTATTTACATTATTTCTTCAGCCAATTTTACACAAGAGAAATTTGAATTTATAATATTTTTTTGGCCACATGACAAGCAAAAGGGTTTAATGTCTGGTCAGTTGCTACCACATACAATGTAACCCTGTTGATGCATACAATAATGCCATATGAATTTGCCCATATTGGTAGGGTGGTTGTATTACCAACGTTAAGTTTTGTTTCAAGCGATAAAGACGGATTTGTTGTAACTGCACTTCAAAACGCAGGGCTCAAAATGTTGACTGGTTGTGAAAACTTTAGTAATAAAAATTACACTCCACAGAAACTGCACTTACAAAAATGGACACCCAGTAAGAAAGACGGTTGTGCAGTGAAATATTCAGTACACTTCATTAGTTTCGATTTATAATAATAAGCACACCCATCCAAAAAGTATACTACAGAAATATAAAATACTCCACTAACAATAGTAGTACAAACCTTTTGTTTGGCCAGCTTAAGTTTGAAGCGATCAAAATCAGTCAGAGTAGTTCGCTTCTTCCTTGTAGCAAGCTTCTTGGCCCATGCGGTCTTTTCCCACTTTTCTAAGATCTCCCCCTTCTCAAAGGCTTTCTTAACTGGGCCACTTTTGGCTGATGGTCCCACCTTGATTTTGAAGTCAGTGAGGGAAAGATGCTTGAAATTTAGGGCCTTGCGACAGACATTGGTGCACGGTCCATCAATCAGGGCCTTTTACAAACAGAAATTACCATTTCAGTTATAAAGAAATTCACTAAAATGCGAAGTACCCAGAGATCTACATGTACAAAGTGATGGATGCAGCTTACACATCACCTGGTTAATCGATATTTGTGATTTAAAGTGAAGGTCAGTGAAAAGATACTTGGTATCCTTCTCAAAACCTTTTTTTCAATAAGTCCAAATTTTGATTTCAAGTTCATTCACAAGTAGTCCCAATACACTAGGCCAATAAACAACTTGAAACCTCGCAAGGTCAAACTCACTCGATTTTGGTCCACCACATCAACGATCACACAAAGTTTGCCTTCATCAGGTCCAGAGTTAATCAGAGCCACACGGCCAATTTCAACCAAACGTTTATACACCTGAGGAATTTATCAAGAAAAGTTGAGCACAGTTAGACATTACTCAACAGAGAAATTTTATCGAATATTTTGGTGTGTTTTCACACGTGTACTCACCATCTTGAAATCGGCGAAAAAGGCCGTCGATGTTACAGGTCCCGTATGTAGCGAGAATCGCAAAGACATGTGGGTAATTTTTGGTTTATCGCCGCTGACAATTTTACGACCGCGGATTTCCGAGGATTTTCCGGGATGGACGGACGGTTTGACGGATTTGACAGTTTAGCAGTACGTATCATAGTTTCCGTCCAGAAAAAAATATGTACCTGTTTATCCACAAATCTTTTACCAAGTAAAGTCCTCCTATCCCAATTCTGTTATCAAGAAACATGAATTTAATAAGCTATTTTAAAAGCCATGCAATCGAATTTAACAGTGCCGGTTTTTTGACAAGGGATCATGATCTTATTACTCGGCATGCTCTTGTTAGTGAGAGAACTGTGTGGGAGAGAAGCAAAATCTTGTTAACTGATTTTGCTCATTAAGGGTAATTCCAACATAAGAGCTAGTTAGCATCTTTGGTGAAGGTCCACGGCTCCGCGAGTGATTTCTAGTTTCAGTCATAGATTTTGTACATAACTTGAATGTGTGTTTACGTTACTTATTGGTCTTGATTGATTGACGAGGGTTTGCGATCTTTTACCATAAATTGGGCGGCCAAGCTGTGATTCTTCATAGTGGATACAACAGGCTACTGCATTCACGACAGCTCTGCTAAATGGTGCCAGTATCGATAAAAAGCTACACATTAAGGGAACTCTTAATTTATTACTCGCATGTTCTTCTTTTTGGTCTCGAACTTTTTCGTTGGGTTTAGCTGTGATATTCCACAAAGAAATTAGGTATTATTTTAAAAAACTCCAGGTTTAAAAGATATAATGGAGTCCACCTACAAGGCCCTCCTGGGTGGTACTCCTGGGAATTCTTGGTGGGGGCGTGCCGCCCGGTTCTTCAAGTCCTGACCCGATTTCAGACTAAAAAGTGTAATTTTCCACACCCTTTTTCAGACTAGACCTATAAAATCCATACCTGTTGTCAAACCTGGCCTTTAAGCAGAAATTATGTTATCATTACTTAGATTATAGCGCAAACAAAAAAACTATTCAAATCCATTTCGAATTTGCATATTTCTCTTTCTTACTTACTCATTTGGAATTGAAACGGTAAAAGTACGTTCATACACTCCATAGTTCCCTCGAAAACAATACCCGATTCCAGATTAAAATGGGCAAAGTGTATACCGGTTTTCAAACCAAGACGGCGCAAAAACCCCACCCGATAGGGCAGCACATACCCAGTATGGCTTATATAAGGGAGTACCCCCCCCCCCCGGAAAGCCCTTCGCGTGATCTCCAAAAAAATACATACTGCTGGCTAAAAAACAACACCATTTAAAAGTCACGTATCCAGAGCTTAACATTGCTGGATTGTACGGTTATTTAAAAAATGTATCCACAAGATATTTCGTGATCTATGAAAAACCGCCGTTTTCGTCTCGAAATATTCTGTACGTTAGTGAGTATCGCCTGCCGCATATGTACAATATAGTTGTTGTTGCTGCTGCTTTTTTTCTCAGAGCTTTGACTAAGAGGAAGTTTACTTTGAAGTACAAACTCTGTAATTTACAAATAGATCAATCATCATAATTGTCTTTCCACGACCTTAATATTCAAACGCTGTACTGGAATTCAGAACATTAAAAACCTGTGCCGGCCTAGTATTTGTAAAAAAAGCCGCTCTGAAATATTCGACCAACGACGTAAAGAAAGCTCTTAGTCAGTCATAAACAAAGAAACACAAACAAGCACTCCACACGAATATCAGCTTCCCTTTACGGATTAGCTCGGCGCTGTTTTCTGTGGTATACTGTATACCGGACGTTCCGCGTGTTAATTGTGTTTTTCAGACTCTGGGTAATCACTTTTTAGTTTTGGAGTCTGTGGATTATTTACTAACTTACATTTTTCTTACTCTAAATATACGCTTACACGTAACTATCTTGGAACAGACAATAACATTACAGGTACAAGATCTCACAATTTCTACGTCTATATGATAGGCGTTTAATTTTTTAAGCCTCCTGAAATTTTGATGCTTAGTCATTCGAGGGCGGCTCAGTACTTTATTTATCTGGGCGGCGAGTGACGAAAAAAGTATAGAGAATGCAACCGATGACTTTTATAAGAGGAAATGACCACTTTTTTCACTCTTTGAAATACCGAAAGAAAACAAGAGTTCTTCACGCAAAGGAATAAAATTGCGTTGTTCCGTAAAGCTTTTGATAGGATGTACATCACATATTAATTATTCGGTGAAATGTGGTCACCAGAATTATCGATCCTCTGGTGAGTTTTCACGTCAATTATCTCCCTTTTGAGTTTGACTAAAAACATTTCTTTGAGTTTAAAGAAAACATTTTTACTATTATGGACTCCTCATTTATCGCCGGCTTTCTGTACCAGAGTATGATGTTCGTCTTCAGTTAAGACACCCACACACAGACCAGCAATTCAACTGCAAACTGAGCGGAGGGGTACGTTAAATAGACTTAGGGGAAAGAGTAGACAGGGAGTGGACGAAACAATGGGCTGTGACCACACAAGCCGCCAGCAATTTTTTTCGATTTTCTACCAGGCCGCATTTATCAAAGGGTGGAGAACGTTATCCACTGGATAAGGCACTTGGTTGCCCTCATGAGCTAATATTTATTCTCTGGACAGTGATTGATCTATGCGGTCGTTAGGGCCATCCATCCAACGTTTGATCAACCGGGGCCAGAAGGACATGACGCAAGAACTGGCGTTTGAATGATCTTACTTTTATTTTTTATCCGGAGTTTGGCAGGAAATGTTATTATCCCATGGTCGTTTCCCTACTTTGGCCGTGTACTGAGATTTTAGCTTAGGCCCCATTTCAAAAATTGAAAACTTTGGAAAAAATGCTTACCCAGTACGTGAAGTCAACAATTTTTTAAAAAAACCGGGCAGGAATTAACGCTTTTAAATCTTTAAAACTTCCAACTCAACTTGGGCTGTTATGATTCATTTTAAGTATCTCTAGTATTTCAAAAACAATGTATTTCGAAACTGTCATAAGCCCTGTAAATTCACAAGGGGTCGATATTAATTGTTTTGAAATTCCCACTGAAATAAATGTTATATTGCCTTTTAAAAAATAGATCCAAATTCGTCGCAGGTGACAGTAACAAATTTATAGCTGGTCCGAGCCAAATTGTATTTGCCTTAAATCCACCATATGACAGGTCGAGGTGAACAACGCTTGGTTTTCCTCATACTTTTTAAAATATTTTACATTTATGTTTTTATTGGAAAATTTTGTAAAACAAGATGAGCTCACTCTCTATAACTGAAGGGAAAAACACAGAAGAACCGCTGGCGATCCCTGGGTGCAAAAAAACAGAAAATTATTTACCAATTAAATTTCGGTTAGCAAATCTGTCAGATGCCGAGGCCATTTAGAATTTTAATGAAACCAAAGAGTATATTTTAGCCGGAAAAGATAGAGTTTCGTTTTTAATTGCTGCCTATAAGTTGTCTTTATGATGAATAGCATATCTGCTATTAAAGAAGATAAAAGCGAATTTCCGTCGAGACACGCGCCGAATCAGCCGAATGCATTTGCACTTGGCAAATAAACCAATTGTCTTTAGTAAATCGCTCGGTTCCGGCCTCTCTTCAGAGGTTCATTTGCATTAAAACTACTTCATGAGAGGCCGAAATGTGAGCAGATGTTGGAGCTTGACGTGCACATATTCAAATTCGCAACTACGCTGACGCTTTCAGTGTCAGTGCTGTAAGGCTTGTCTGAGAATAATGCATTTCCAAAGGCGGTCGCAACAACACTTAATCGGCCAAAGAAAGATCTACATCAAGGGGGTAAGTTGAATGTTTTGAGCTTAATAGTTTATTGCTTTGCTCACGGTTGCTTGAAAGGAAAATTCTTTCTAAACTGAACTGACAAACTTCCGTCCAGTCAACTAGTCGATTGACAAATTAAAATTTATGGCACAGCAATTAAGACGCTAAAATTTAAATACTCAGTATTTTTTAAACGTACAGCACACCCGCCATTTTGACTCCAGTACAGTGTATAATCTATAATCTACTATACTTTAATTTTCCTCACGGAGGGTATCTCTGCCTCGAGAGCTCTCCTCGAAGTTTATTTCTAATCAACAAATAATTAATACACACGGTATATTTCCTGTCTTTTACGAAGCGCTGGAAAATCTTTAATAAATCAACCACTTGTAATCGCCATGAAAAATAGTTGTTATTTTTATGCGAAAGCGTTAATGAATTAACTCAAAAGCATCAAAGTTGCTTGCATGCAAAACCAATATCATTTTTGAAAAATGGATTAAAGTGGAGAGGATTCACGGACAATTTATTTTACCACGCAATGTCTAAGGGTTTCTCGTCAATTTGCCAAGAGCGAAAATGTCTTGAAAGGTAGATTTCAATCTTATACTTTTCCTGAAAGTAATCGAAATTGAAATATTTTAGCTCAAACAGTATATAATCCAGTTTTTTTTTTACTTTTTAACAGGAAAGTTTAAGTTAATGTGGATCAGCGTCAGGTTGCTAGCACTTACCGCGTGAAAAAATCGCTGTCTGACAACAGGTGCCATTATGAAAAGCTTTTTCCGGGCGATAGCTGATACCAGTTGTCAAAAACATAGATCAGCAAGAAAGCAAAGAAACACAAAGGACTCCACCAGTGATTTGAATACAACAATGGGAGCATGTCTGGACTTGCAAAGCCAGGCCCCAATTAAGATTCTCCTTGTTCCATGTGAATCCCAGCCGCCTTCGTCCACAAGGTACTGGATTATAGACGCGCGGCGAGGCAAAATTCCTTTTCTTGGATCAAGTAGGTGCAAGATTGTTCAACATATGGGTAACAGAGTTACCGAACCTTTTCAAGGACAGATACTTACAAGAGAAGGGCGAACTATTATCGAAGGAATTTTAGCCGATGGAGCTAATGAGGGAGAGTATTTTGAGCTTGTATTGTTTGCGGCATCGTCGCGAGAACTAAATGGAAAGCTAAAAACATCTGGTAGCAATGCAGCGTTTTGTGGTATTCTTCAGCGAAGTTCGAGCGAGAAATCGGGTATATTCGAAGAAACTCATGACGCATTTCTGCATACTATGGTAGAAAACTACGAGATTCCTCAAATGAAAACTGGAGTAAAAGCGGGACAGAAAAAAATTTGCTCGTAAATTTTTAGTTTATGTAGGAATTTGAGTAACTAATATTACAAGTATCTTGCAGTTTACTTACTTTAAGGGCGTTTCTGTCTTTATCCAATATCTGGTTGACAATATTGTACCTTGACGTTCAGCTTACGTCAGATCGGCAAACTTTTACTTACTTGTTGACGTTCAGTGGAAAGTGTT